TAGCTGCGATCACTGTTCATTGATATCCGACATGGAAGTGGTACGCCCTCTTTCATTTCCGCAGTTTTCGCGTTAAAGTCCTTGCAAAACGCAGCAATGTTAATGGCTCGCTGACAAAATGAATTTATTATTTAAATGTTAAGCACATATGTAATTAGTAAGAGCTTACCTGACCTAGCATGGGACCCAGTGGCGGGCCGGCTGCTGCCATGCCGGCGGGAATATTTGTTTTTAATTTAGTCGTATGCGTTACCCGCTCGACTGTTTTCTTTAATGATTTTAATTTCCCCGCTGCTTTAGACATTTTAATTGATGATATCCGCTATTTCAAAATATGATTGTTATGCAAAAAGATCCAATGCGAATGGGAAGAGGAAGAACAACGAACAGCTGTGAGCGGCACATTAATAAGTTATTGGATGAGTTACCGATATATCGATATTAAATATAGCCCACTAGAAAATCGTTAGAATATCATTAATTAATTGTATTTTGAGATATTATAAAGAAATATTTTAGTTTATTAAAAGTTTTAATAGTTGAACTCTCTGTTTTCGGTTTGAATTGTCCCTTTGTATCGAAAAAAAAGATTAGCACATGCTGTTAATAACAGGTAAACAAACTGTTACAGGCGCGATGACCAAAGTGAACGAAACAAATGGATGAGCGAGAAATGGTTCACAGGAACGTGTTCCACACGATTCAGTACACATTTGCCGAATAGACGCGTTTTCTGTTAAAACTAAAAATAACAAATAAATTTATTAAACCTACCCAGGCTTACGGCGCAACATGTCTATTGAAATAGAATCAGCAGAGTAAGTATAATAAATAGCACATTACAAAGTAAAATAAAGAAACACATCTTTTGCAGCGTAATTCGTCTAATTCAGCAATACCTAAAAGAATCCAATCTACTCAAAACGCTTCAAACCTTACAGGTAAGAATACATTTTATTTATTAAACTCCTCATATTACTCTGATACTTTGTAGGAGGAAACTGGAGTTTCACTCAATACAGTAGACAGCGTCGATGGTTTTGTCCAAGATATCTCTAATGGCCACTGGGACACTGTGCTCAAAGTAACCCAATCTCTGAAGCTGCCCGACAAAAAGTTACTCAATCTTTATGAGCAAATTGTCTTGGAATTGATAGAGCTGCGAGAATTGGGTGCCGCTCGCTCACTACTTCGTCAAACCGACCCAATGAGTATGTTAAAGCAGCACGAGCCTGAGCGGTATATACATCTAGGTTAGTGTCATCAATGCTCTACGCTATTCTGTGTATAAACCGTATGCTCTTTATCTCTTAGAAAACATGTTGCAACGAGCATATTTCGATCCCCGCGAAGCTTATGCAGAGGGCAGCAGCAAAGAGAAGCGGCGTGCGGCTATTGCCCAGGAGTTGAGTGGCGAAGTGCACGTTGTGCCGTCGTCCAGGCTCTTGGCATTACTTGGCCAAGCGTTGAAATGGCAACAGCATCAAGGTCTTCTTCCACCCGGCACTACCATTGATTTATTCCGTGGTAAGGCAGCCATGAGAGATCAAGAGGAGGAAATGTATCCAACGCAGCTGTTTAGACAAATCAAATTTGGTGAAAAGTCTCATGTAGAGTGTGCGCAATTCTCGCCAGATGGACAGTATTTAATAACAGGAAGCGTAGATGGCTTCTTAGAAGTTTGGAATTTTACAACGGGCAAAGTACGTAAGGATTTGAAATACCAAGCGCAGGACCAGTTCATGATGATGGAGCAAGCTGTGCTGGCATTAACCTTCTCGCGGGACTCTGAAATGGTTGCATCCGGTGCTCAGGACGGCCAAATAAAGGTTTGGCGCATCATTACCGGCCAGTGTCTGCGTAAATTTGAGAAAGCACACACCAAAGGCATTACCTGTCTACAGTTCTCTCGCGACAACAGCCAAGTGCTCAGTGCCTCCTTTGACTATACTGTGCGTCTGCACGGCCTGAAGTCTGGCAAAATGCTTAAGGAGTTTAAGGGTCACACATCATTTGTCAATGAAACCACGTTTACACCCGATGGTCACAGTGTGCTCAGTGCTTCTTCCGATGGCACCGTTAAAGTCTGGTCACTGAAAACTACAGAATGCGTAGCTACGTACAAGCCGTTAGGCAATGAACTGGCCGTGAATACTGTGCTTATCCTGCCCAAAAATCCTGAACACTTTATCGTTTGCAATAGGTCCAACACAGTTGTCATTATGAACATGCAGGGTCAAATTGTTCGATCATTCTCGTCGGGTAAGCGCGAGGGCGGCGCCTTTATCTCAGCTACACTGTCACCCCGAGGCGAATTTATTTACTGTGCTGGTGAAGATCAAGTGCTCTATTGCTTCTCGGTTTCTTCGGGCAAACTGGAGCGTACACTGAACGTAAGTATATTTGGTTGGTCTTGTTTTGCAGTTAGCTGTATGAATTTGTTTTGTTTTTAGGTACACGAAAAAGACGTCATTGGCCTAACACATCACCCGCATCAGAATCTTTTGGCCACCTATAGTGAAGACGGTCTGCTAAAGCTATGGAAGCCTTAGTTTCAATAGGCGTTGATCAACTGGTCGCATACTAAGTTTTATTTAGTAGCAATAGATTTTACGTATCCAAATATATGTATTTTATTTAACAGCACTGTAATACTAACTGCGTTTGACCAGTCGTTGCTTTAGATTTTCTCATGCCCTGTATCAATATGTCAATCATGTCTCTATCAGACAAATTGACTTTAATTGAGAATTATGCAAAGCCACAACGAGAGCTGCTGCGGTAATCCGCTGTCTTCGTTTCAATTGGTCTCAGTGTTTGAATTAGTCAAGCAACTGCACTCGAGTAAACCAGTTGTGCTGCGCACACCCACGAATCAGCAGTATGAAAAGCGACGAGATCATTGAGAAAATACGCAACAAGCTCAAGGAGTCCGACCCGAACAAACGAACTGTGGTCAACACATTTCAGTTCAATTTCACGGACTCCGATGGCAAACTCATTAAGAGCATGGGTGAGTTATTGCCATTGCTTAAGTCTGGCGCCTCCTGCTGACCGTCTTACTGTAGTATTTGATTTCAAAGCTCTGGACATTTATGAGGGCACCGCAGCTGATGTCGACGGCCGGGTTACTATAGCAGATGAGGACTTCTATTTGGTTGGCACTAAGCAAAAGAGTTTTGAGCAAATGCTGGAACAGGACAAGGCTAAAGTCGATGGCGATGCGGATGCTATTAACAAAATGTTGGACAAATTTCGTTTGAATTCGCAAAAGTAAAAAAAAAAAATGTATTTTATAGAATTTGCATGTGCATTTTTCACTTAAATATAATAAACGATATTTACACACATATACTACATCGTATACTCTTAACCACTTAAAATTGTAAGAGAAAAAGCGACTATATATGATGATAAGTTAGATAGCAATAATCTGTAGATGACAAATTTAAGTTTTCTGCTGACTTGTATGTTTTTCAGTTTCCCAATGCAGAGTAGATGGCGCTTGGTTAATTGAACACAGTCAAAAACGTGATCTCTGAAGATCTCGATATAAAAAAATTAATAAATTCTAAATTTTTACTTTAATAACCGTTGTAGGGAAATGATTAGAGTATTTCTTTAGGTATGCCAAAATTGACGAAAAATTGCCTCGACAATATTAAATAAAATTCAGATTTTGTCTTGGTTTAGTATTCGTTTATTTAATTACCTTTATTTATATTTAATGTTAACATGGAATTGTTTTTGTAGGTGTTTTTGTTCAATTTTAAAATTTTGCGTTTAATCAACTATTTTTTGCTAAAGCGTTGCGTTCTATGCCAATGCATACGCTTGGATTTCTTTTCTTTTATTTTTGTTTGTTTGTTTGATTTTAGTTTTCTGGATTTTGGTTTTATTTTGGTTTAGGCTTTACATATTGTTTAATATAACTTATCTTTCATTTGCTTGCCTTGCTTAATTATAGATTTAAATGTAAATTTAACACTTGCTTGTTTAATTTAACGTTGTGTTTCTTTTTAGTAAACGCTTAGAACATTTGACGGGGATTTTGCCGTTTGTTTTTCAAACATTTTTATTTAATTTTTATATGTTTAGTAAATAGGTTTTAAATGTATGTTTATTTTTTATTGCTAGAACACAAATTCAATTTATTTAATTAACTAATTTAATTGGGGTTCACTTTAATGTCATACAACAACAAAATTTTTACACTTAAACTAAATATCTTTACTTATTTTTTTTTAAATATTTTATTTTGCAATTGTTTAAAAATAATTAATTATTTCTTATAAAATAGTTGATCTTTATGCATTTTGCAAACACTTTAACAACGTTTTATTTTATTTTATTTTTTGTTCAATGTATTCGATTTATTTATTATGTTTCTTTTTATTAAACACCTACATACTTTTATTCAAAATGATTTTTAGGTTGAACTGTTTAAATTTTTCTCATTTATTTAAGCTTTTTCATTATTTTATGCAAAACGTACGAGCGCTATGAAACCAATAATTTTTTTTTTTATTTTCTCAAATATTCATCTATGTTTTATCATTTTGATCAAAGATCTCATTCTGAAATAATGCAAACAATTCTTTATTTAAAATTCAAAATTTTGTTATTAAGATAGAATATAGACGTATATCATAAACATAATCCAAACTAAAAAGAACAACTTATAATATTAGCTATTAATACTCAACGATTGGCACAAATTGTTTTCTATTGTTGCTTGGTTGTTATTTAATTTTAGCTTTTCATTTTTTCTTTATGTACTGTATAAGTGTTTATTATCGTTCTCTTTAGCGTGTAGATTTTTATAAATTTTTGTTTTATTTTTAATGTCGCTGCAATATTCCTTTTAAATGTCTATAAAAACGTGCTTAAATAGACAAAAATCGTTGAATTTATCATTGTTGGAATTTGTGTGGCACGACAAATAGCGCATTAAAATTGATTTGTATTAATACATTTTTATTTTAGTTATTACTTATGTATACAAAACTCTCAATTAAAGGATTTTGCGTTTAACTTTTGCTGGAAGATACAGGTTTGATAGTCACTAATTCTTTTATTTATGCATTCTCCTCTTTCACGTATGTATCCTATGTCTTGTTAAAAACTTCAATTTATAAACATGTTTAACTTGAGTTTCGTCGGTTCCTCGGGTGTGTAAAAAAGGTGTAAATAAAAGTTATACGCGGCTGTATAGATATAATATATGCATTTATGTTTATTGTTTTATGCCCTTTAATAAGTAGAATTGTTTGTTTACTTTGCTTGCATTCAAATATATTTATTCATGTGAATGTGTATTATCTCCCGTACGGGCCTTTGTGTTTTTATTTTATTTATATACTTTTTTCATTTCTTATTGGATTTGTTGTATAATTCATTCAATTATGCTTCACCTAAATATTACTCGTATCAAATATAAAAATCAACAACTTTTTGCGGTCTCTTTTGGCTAAGAAAATGCTTTACATGCTCGCCGCTTGGCTTTTCCATATCTGGTTTGCCGTCTTTCTTTATTTTTCGCATTGTCGCATTTCCCTCGTCATCCGTAGTCGCAATGTGTATAATATAGTATGTATGTATAATTAAATGTAATTATTATTTGTTGTCTGTCTTCTTTGTTCATCGTAAATCGTTAATCGTTTATCATTTATCGTTTATCGTTTATCGCTACTACAATGTTTACGCACTACTGTACTCATTACGTTATTCGCGCCTCCTCTATAGCTTATTAAATATATGTCTTAATCAATTCGCACATTTGCATAATTTTTCGTCTTTTAGGTATTGTTAACTTTTGAATTTTTGTTCAAGTTCTTTTTGCTCCAGCTGATCGCACACATTTACTCACTTGTAATGCGTCCTTCAGCTGGGGCACGACTTAATCTAAAGCGCTTTATAGCTGAAACTAGCGATAAAAATACTTAAACACATAGTTAAACGTTAGCCATTTGGTTTACATGATCAATATTATCTTCGTCGAAATGCACATCGTTAATAAATATGTCGGCAGCCAGTTGATCCTCATCCAGTTCCAGATCGTCGTCGTCCTCATCATCGTCATCGTCGTTCATCAAACCGTGCGACATGTCAACGCCGGCTATGCATATATGCGGTGGCGGTGGCACACTGGTGGGTGGCAGTGGTGCCGGTGGAATGATCAGCGTGCCGCTATTGATGCCATGTAGGCTGCCCGCAATGCTCGCCCCACCACTCTGCAAATGACGCCGACTGGAGCTAAGACCAGCTGAGAAATTTATAATTGGTCAATTAGTTTGTCCTCGATTGATTGTGAAAATATTTACCCAAGTTACTTCCAAAAAAATATAAAATTCAAACAATTCAACAAATCAAAGAAAACCTAAAATTATGAACATAAAAAATAACATAAAACGGAAAAAAGTCAATCCAGCCCCTCCTGCTTACCCGTTGCGCTCGTCTGAGAATCATAGTGTGCATTTCGATGTAAACCCAATTGACGCACGTGATTTCTACGTTTTCTTCTGGAGTGACAGAGTGTGCATAGGAGACAAATTAGGGACGAGGCGACGACTAGTGTTATTATAATTAGGACGTCGTGATCCTCCTCGGCCGCTTCCGTGATACCTGGTGCAGGAATTGGCACGTAAATAAACCAAAGTGCAAAGTAAATTTAACAATTGTTAATATACAGAGTTGTCGGAATACTATACACATTATCGTGGACTTTCAAACTCTTTAATTATGATAGATGTATAGATGAGAATGTTACTTAGATAATGCGTAAATGAGTCTCTAGCTAACTTGTAGATAACGTTAAGACTTGAATTCTTCTCGTCGTGTGTTGGCATTAAGTATTTGATTTATCATATTCTTTTTATGCGGGGTTTTATTGGGGATAACAATTGCGAATGCAGCTCAGCTTATCATTAGTTGGGGATAGCGAAAACGAAAAACAGTCAAGTGCAGAACATAAAAAAGCCAGAATTCTAAAGGAAATGTTCCAATCAGCATGCCTTTGAACCGGTTTCCGAATGCTACAACAAGGGAAAACTCAAATATGCAACCGAGGACTAAAAACTAAAGCAGGGGGACTTTACATTTATGTTTAAATATATTTTATATAGGGAATGCTTTTTGTTTTTATAGCAATATCTTTCTAGAACGATGCTTTATTTAATTCGTGTCGTTTGTGGCAAGTTTTCATTTCGAGAGTTGAGGATTCTGTGGGGCTCTTTTATAGTTAGTGTGCATGTCATGATTGTGGCTGTGAGCGTGTGCAGCGAATTGAGACAAGTTTATGCAGGACTCACGTGTTATATGTGACCAAAAGTATTATGTATTTCTTATTCTTAGACATTAGCATTTAATTGGCGTATAATTTATGCTTTGCTAAATTATTCAAAACTCTTGCCTTGTTTTTTTTTTTTTTTTTTTTTCTTTGTTATTATATTTATTGTAATAGTTATTCATCACTTTTGATTATCGTGAAAATTCCATTCATTTGGCAATCCAATTTGAAAATTTTATTTATATTTTTATACTCATTTGATTTAGTTGTTCAGTTTGTTAAGGATTTTGATTTCGATTTCGATTTAGTTAACTCTTTAGTTGTACGTATTCAAGACTAGTGCCATAATTGATAAAACAAGTGTCTGTAGAAATGTGGGCAAATGCGTGGAGTTTGCGTCACCTGTGTCATTGTAACGGGTTATTTCAGGTAATTGATTCGGATTAGTTTTAAGGAGTTGTTTCAAATGTTACGTAAAGATTGTTAGTTTTCAGTTGGTTCAAGTGGAAAAATCACATCGAGAAAGTATAGAAAAGAAAGACAAAGAACAGAGAGAAATAGAAGAAGACATGTGAGAAAAAGAGATAGTTTTAGTGTGGGCGTGGCTGTTGTTATTACTGAGAGCGCAGTGTTTAGGTATTGTATGATTAAATATGCCATGTATAGATATTTATATGTATAGGTAGAACAGTAATTATGCATAGCTTATGACTGGGTGGGTGAAACTTAATTAAGAATACGAAATTGTATGTACAGAAATTCTGGCCATGGAAATGACAATAATAATACATATAGAGCTGTTGAAATTTTGGTGCTTTGAGTTCTTAAAAACCTTATAATATGCTTGAGTTTTGAGTGGTTTTAATTTTCATTGTGTTTAGATTATTGTTGATTAGTTTTTAGTTAATGAGAGTATTTAATTAATATATATTTTTAGCAAGTGTTTCGTCGGGTTCAAGTTTTCGTGGTTAGCATAAACAAATGAAGAGCATAATGAACCAAATATGCAACAAATGCAGTGACTTCGCAATTAATTAATAATCTTAAGTCGAAAGATAAACGAAACGGAATTATGAAATCATGAAATGTGAATAACAAGATTACGTATACGATTTTCATGGTCGCTCAGTGGACGCACTGAAATCACAAACTCAACGACATAAAACAACAATAAATAAGTAGAGTATATTAAATAAATGAAAAGTAAAGTATATCAGAAGGAAAATAAAAATGAACTGAACCGTTCGACTCACTCACGACTCACAATGCAATTCGTCACTATCATCGCCGGGACCGCAGTTCTTGACGCCGTCGCAGCGCAGCTTATCCGATATGCAATAGCCCGCAGCGCACTGGAAGTGGTACGTGGACTCGCAGAGCAGCCCAATCGACGGTGGTCCCGGGCCAGAGTCCTGTATCTCAGTCCATACTATGCGGAAGCCCTGCACAAATATAATAATTATTCATTTAAGAGCTGCATTTTATTCAGCTGGGAAATACGCATGGTTAACCCAAAAATCCATGCACTTCCGCTCGACCCAACAAACAAAATATAATAAAATGAATATACAGCCAATGCTCACCTGTGCACCAACGGTCTTATCGCTGGTGGTAAAGCTGATGCGCGCCGTCTGACCGGTGGATATATAGTGCCAGTGCTCAATGGGCGGCTTTTCGCCACACAGCTCCAGGGGCGGCTGATCCGAGTCAACATTCACCCACAGGCGCAGCACAGCGGCGGGACATCCGCGATCTAATATAGAATTTATGAATGATGCAGTCCGTGGCAAATTTACTGAATTTTGTTTACTTACTCGCTGGATCGCCCTCGAGTCCGAACTGCTCAAAATTGATGGACAACTTGTAGCCGGCGCGTGCGGTCATCACCCAGTTGCATGCGTTGGAGGCCATGCCGCGACCTGGGGCCTTATAGCCAGCTGGGTAGTTCGGCGAGGTTATAATGCCGGAGTCCTCGTTGCTGAAGTTGCCGCCACAGTCGCCTGCATCGGACTTGGCCGACTCGAAAAAGTATCGAGCCTTGAAGCCACTGGCCACGCTCTCCTGGTCCGTGTGCAACGTGATGCGTAAGCCGACCGCGCCGCGCGGACTCTCAACGGGCCCGGGTGCTGTTAAGCCACAATACCGGCCCAGCAAGCGATCATTGTTATCCCGGTAGACGACATACATTTCCAGCCAATCCTCAAAGCAGGCACCGGAGCTGCAAGCAATCGAGTCACCGTTAGTTAATCTCTGTTAGGATTACTCACAAATCTCTACTCACCCGTAAGAGCCGGCGGTGGCGTTCACATTGTTGTCCGCTTTGATCTTGAAGTGATCGAATACAATGGTCACCTGCTCGTTGGGCTCGGCCAAGAACAAATAGGAACAGTTTGTGTCTGACGGATAGTTGGAGGGATAGCGTGGACTGTTTAGCTCGCCGCGTTTCTTCGAGCTGCTCACATACGTAAAGCTGCAGGTGCCGTCTGGTGCCGCCGTGCCGGGTATCTTGTATTCCGTTTCGAATGTGTACTTGCCCTTAAAGCCACGCCCCTGCAGCTCACCCGAACTGAACACCATGGCCAGGCGTGGCCCATCGCTGATCACGCGTTGCGTCTCATTGCCGCACAGCTCGTAGTCAAACTTGTCATACGCGTCGGCAGTCTCCTGGCCTTTCAGATAGATCTTAAGATAGCCATCAGTACAGTTGGATCTTGAGTGAATGGATGGGAAATAAATTAGATTTGAGTTGATCAAGAACAACAAATAGTTTACGCACTCGCCCTTGTCCTTGTGCTCCACTTTGGGTATGTTGAAAGAGATAAACTCGAGACGTACACGCTCCAGATGCTGTGCATCCTGCATGCCATAGATGAAATATCTGCGAAGAGCAGCAGTACGTTAATATGCAATTCTTCTCATTTCTCTTTGAGATTACAATAGCACTTACCTACACACAGTTTTTTGTATATATGGATAGGGATAGTTAGGTGAGAGCACGAATCCTGTCGATTCCTTATTTGATAAAATCTTTTGATCACATTCTGAGCCACGTATGTGAATGCCATCATTTTCACCTGATGAACGCAATTAAATGTTGGAATTCGTTTTCGTTTGTGTTTTGTTGTTGCATTTTTAGATGAGTTGCAGGAATTTACAGAGGGCAGATTATGTAGCAGTTGTTAGAATTTATAGATGAGTTTCAGTTGGAGTCGATAGATTACAGATAGAGATGGAAGAGAGAATGAGTTAAGTTCTAGATCAAATAGATTAGCTGATAGAATGCAACAGAAATGAACAAATGAACAAATATTCCAGTGAGTGAAAATGTGTTTCAGACACATACACTGAGCCGTCAAATGCGAGCACGGCGGCCATTTTGTGGCGTTGCCAACACAGTTAGCAGCACTACAAAATGGCCGTCGTTCTGGGAAAATGGCTGAACTGAAATATAATTAGAGATTAATTGCTTAGCGATTGAATAATACTTACGTATAAAATCTAATTTAACAAAACTTTCGCTAAATTCATAAATTCCTTTAAAGCCACGATTTTGGGAATTTGCGGTGCGCGGTAGGGTATAAAAATGAACAAAAAGGCTCGATTCGCTCGAATACAATACTAAGTTTCTTTGCTGTCCGCAATATGTACCGATTAATGCTGACGAATTATCTGGACCATCGTACACTTTCACATAGTCAAATGGGCAGCTGTTTGTATGATGTTGTTGTTGTTGTTGTAGGTGTTGTTTTTTTTTTTTTTTTTTTTTATTTTGATGATGATAGTAAACAGTAATTTGGTTGTAGACGAATAAATTGTAATAGATCGTACATAGAATAGAATTTAGATAGAATTTAAATAAGTAATTGTTGTAGATAGTTCACAGATATGATTTCATGTGTGAGCGTGCGTGTGTGTTTGTGTGTAAGTGTGTGTGAGATTGTGGTAGCTGCAGATCAAAGCAAATTCCAGCTAACGAGAATTTGTTTTGATTTTGACTGGAAACTGTTTGAAGTGTGTGTGTGTGTGTTTGTGCGTGTGTGTGTGTGTGTGTTTGTGCGTGTGTGTGTGTGTTTGTGTGTGCTTGTGTGTATTTGTTTTGTATGTGAATTTGTACAGCATTAGGGGTACTCACTGTGGTCCACCAAAAAACAGATCAAAATCACGAAACTCTAATCTAACTCTCTGATTTGATTCACCAAGAAATTGATATGTGCATGACATATCCTTCGGATAGGCACCTGGATAGGTTGGCGATATGAGTGCGCCAGTTTTATTGATACTCATGCTAGGCGTTATCGTATAGGAACATGGCGAACCAGCAATGGGTATGCCAATTTCATATTCCGCTGTAAATGGCAATTGTTAATAAAAAAGGAAAGGTAATGAAAAATTAGTGGACCCTTCTCCCCCTACTTACATGCATTTATAAACCTAAACGTGCCCTCGAACAGGTCTGTCGACACATTCTTGTTGCTGAAAAATGAAATGGCAACGGCGCGGTACATGGAAATGCGACGACGCGGTGGTATGGCACCACAGTAGCGACCGCCGAATGGCGAATTGATCAGCTCCGCTGGTTCGGACGATTGCACCTCCGAGTAGATATCCATGTACTCATGAACACAACTGTGAAGCATTGATTCAAAATCGGATTAAATATGCATTAATTCCACTTAATTCATTATTAACCCACCTTGGTAATTCACCGACGGCCGAACCGCTGCAATGTGAATAATAATATAAAAATAATATTAATAAATGAGAGATGAAACCGAGATTCTGTATTTCAGCAGACTGAGACTTACTCTGGCGGACTTCCTCTTAAATTAAAGGATTTAAAAACTACTTCGACACGCTGGCCAGGTCCTGCTAGGAATGTGTAGAGGCATTGGCGCGAATGATTGCGATGATTGTGCAGCAGCGGCGCCGTAAAGGTGCCGTTTTGCGGACCGCCAATGCGCGAGACGAACGTCTGATCACATTCTGTTTGCAGAGGCACAAAGAAAAAGAAAAGGAGAAAGAGAGAGAGAGAGAGAGAGAGAGAGAGAGAGAGAGAGAGAGAGAGAATTCCGCACAAACGGTTAAAGTTTGCATGCGGTTTTTGGTATTGAATGAGTCAAGTTGTTACAAGTCGCTGCAATGGTTAGGTATAGACACACACAACAATACAAACACATACACATAACGTAGCAGTAAAACAATGGTTCAACTGTATGCATAGCAGCCATAGCTGTGTGCTAGTGTGGCAGTGTGCGTGTGCGTGTGCGTGTCTGTGTGTGTGTGTGTGTGTTTGTGTGTGTGTGTATTGATGTATTTATAACTAGAAAGCGGTTTCATTTTCAACTAAGTCAACGTTCAACTACAGATAGACATTTAAATGTAACTGTTAACTACGGGCGCGTTACACACACACACACACAGAGAGAGAGAGAAAGAGAGAGAGCGAGAGAAACTGAGTTTTGTTAGTGGCGCCACCTACTTGGCGATTTTGTGGGCCGCACCGGCGCCTCCAAGTATGCCACAACCGGCTGCATCCATGGCTCGCCTGCGCCCTCGCCCTCAATGCCGGGCGATTTCAAGTGCGCAGTGGCGGCCACTGAGTTCGGTGTAATTTTGTTCATTTTTTACATTTTTTGGAGATAGGTGTAGGAAGAGGGGGTTGTTGTGGGTATAGACGAAAGACAAATACATGATGTTAATGATTTGTATATGCTTGTGAGCTGCTACGAGTAGGTGTGTATACCTATGTGTGTTCGTGTTTGTGTGTGTGTGTGCTTGTATTATACGTGTTTATATCAGCTTGACGTATAACATGGAAAATCGCTTCTATGTTTATGACAGCTGCCCTGATTTAGTTGTCTGCCCATCAGCTGAGATAAGGTGTGTGTGTGAGAGTCCAACATGTTTTTCCCATAATACAATTGGAGCAACTAAAGAGCCAACTGTTGTAGCTAATCAAACAACACAGCAAGCAAACACGTTCCCCCACAGCCTTCAAAATTTGTTGTGTTTGAAAATATGAGCACTGCTTTCCGTTCTGTGCATTTTACTTGGCTAAACACTTAACAACCACACAGCTGCATACACACGCACAGCCACGCCCACCCACAAAACCCGCGTTCGCCCACATATCGTGGACGTTTCCAAGGTGAGCTGAAACTTCCTTCTGCATTCTCGTAACTTTGAGTGCATTTTAATCGGCTTTGCCTACCCATTTAACTAGTTCTCTAGTCGATGACTTAAATCCTTATGCACAATTTGTATACCCTGTGCTCATGCGAAATGTCTAGGCAGGGCATTAAGGCTGTTGCTATTCCATCCAAAGTTCCATCTAATAATTTACCATTTTATACACCCACATACAACTATATTTCTGCGTCAACGATTGTCAAATAGTTATTTCGTATTATTAATAACACAAAATAAATAAAGAGTATGTCATATTTAATGAATATATTTATATTTGCATATATGATATATTCTGCAGAACTGTAATAAATTTGTTCAGCAAACACCTTCCACAGTTACATAGAAACACGTAGTATGCAAGTCCCTGCTTATGTGGACTTTTGCAGTATATATACATATAAGGGTATTAAAATTTGATTGCAACGTTTGCTATAATACACACACATATTTATCTGGGGCATTTTAACATTTTCCAAAGATCGGATAAGACGTAAGTTACTGAACAGCCCGCAAAGTTAAACATTTAAAAAGAAAAAAATAAATTTATATATAGATTTATATTTACTATATACATATATATAATAATCATTACATTCATTCTTTTGTGTGTTTGGGTGTGTGTAAGTATGTATGCACTAGTCAAACACTCTCAACTAAAACTTTGTATTTACTTTAATGCCTATTTATTCACAGCATCAGCTGGCCCTTGATTATGATTTTGGTGTCATTTGCAGCAATCAAGTTCAAAGTGAACCAAGCTAAATTTGTGGTTTAATTAAATTCAATTTTGTATATATGTACGTGTATTAAATGGACACGGATACGCTTCCAAAAACATATTTGAGGTTTCGGTTTTGCTTTTGGCTTTGCTCTTGCTTGGGTAGCAGCTGCTGCTGCCCAGCTCGGAGGCCCAACTGAGCTTGTCTGGCAAGCTTTAATATTGTCTGTGCTGTCTGTCAATTTGGGATACAGATTTAAATTTGCAGTATTTAAGTTTTTATTCAGAAGAGACTGCTGCTGCTGAATGTTCTACAAAGTTAGTATATTTAGTATATAGTATGTTTAGTCAAAAATATGAAATGGATATTTTTGTCGGGCACATCGAAGGACTCAGTGGCGGTGCTACTCTTGGTTAGAAAATGGGGTGTTGCCCAGCAAAGAGGATGTAAAAGACTTCAGCTGTAATTTTGTACATGCAACATTTCTAGGAAAAACTGTTTCCATCAAGTGTATGGATTACTACAAATGGAAAAGACTATCAAAAGCTGTTCACTTGAAATAAATAATTTAACTCGTTTCATTCGAAGATAACGATTCACTAGAAACTTCAGTTTCTTAACTCTCTGGCAATGCAATATAAGATGTTTCTTCCTTCTTTTAACAGGAATTGAATTGAGAGCGGCTGTTTTATGACCATTAAAAGACAATAAGAACTAGACTAGTTCAGGTTGTTGTAAATAATTAAGTGAGCGCCTTGCGAGTCGTTTAAATTGTAACAATGAATTTAAGTTGAATTTAGTTAACGCATTCAATTGAAATGCTGCGACGCCATAAACTGCGGTGTTAACTGGCATTTGGTGTTGCAGAAAGTGCGCGTGGCAGTTAGCGCTACACTTATTTTATTATATCAACAGTTCGTGATGTGCAGCCATTGAAAATTAATTCTTATGCTGCGCACTCGTTCGCATTTTCGCATTTTATCTGCATTTGCTGGTTGCTGGTGATGTTGTTGGTGCGTTTTCGCGTGCCAATTGCTAAACTGCAAATAAATAGCGAACATGCGCAAAGTTTGCTCATTAAAATGAAAACAAAAATTTTGTGCAGCTACAACTATCAGGATGGCAGTGCCAAGGATGCCAGGACACGTTTGCGGGATTTTGTGATAAATGCTATTGCAATTGCAACGTGGAACTTGGCGAGCGACTGGAAGCTGGGCGGATCGGGCTGCCTTGCCGCCCAGTCGTGGCCATGAGCATAACAATGTCAACCGCAACGAAATCTGACAAACGGAAGAGACCTACACAATGCAGCATTCAGCATGCCCTCTAAGCCCATGCTGTTGCCCCGCCTACATGCCCACACGCCCACTACCCCCACCATTGGGCGGGTAACCATGACAACGAAAATGCGCAGCACTCGTAAAGTGTCAATAAATTTTATGCAGACGCCATTTGCATTGGCATAAATATTTTTGCACTTTATTGTTGTTATTGTTATGCTTGTGGCTGTTGTTATTGTTGTTGCTGTTGCTGTTGTTTGACACTTTTGTTGTTTTTATTGTTTGCTTGTCTGCCTAGACATTATGTTAATTTACAGCACTTTGTTTCAATGCTAAACGATTCAAATAATTGTGGCTTGTGTGTGCGTGTGTGTGTCTGTGCCTGCTTCCCACATTTAAATGAACATTTTAATTACGTATTGTGCAACTAAAACGATCAAAAACCACAAAATGACAGTCATAATCCGCGTAACTGCCATGTAAACCAGTTGCCAATATATGTATGCACACACACACACACGCACACACACATTAAAAGTTAAGTGCGGCACAAACACATGGCGCACCTGCCAAACAGGTGTACCAACATCGCCGCTGGCGAGCCTGGTAACATCGCTCCAGGCACAAAGCAGCCGCAGCTCTGGTCTTTTACAAATTGCTCCCCAAGGATGCGGCGAGACAGAGAAGTTTGACGAAGGCGATGATGTCGACGTCAATACTCCTTCAGCTGGCGTTAGACGGGCGGCCCAACGAGCCACATAGCATTACGCTAATAACCTCAAGTGTACACACTAAGGCAGGTGATAAGTGTGAGTGTATTAGTAGCTTGCAGCCGACAGAAATTTACAATTGATTCACATCAGGTGAACTGAAATTCTAGGAAGTATCCATATAAATTTAGCATGTTGCGCGTTTTAATTAGATTTTGAGCTTTCATACTTTTCAATGGCTTCGATAATTATTAATTATGTTATTGCTTCCCTCGATGCCAATTAATTAATATTGTAGAATTTTATGGTAGGTATACATTCATAATTAATTAATTCATTGTTGTCAATGGATTTTTTTATAAAATTTACTTTTATAATTTTCTCTAATAATAATAAAAAAAATAATAAGTAATTATATACATATATTTTTTTTATCAAATTAAAATCGTTAAATTATTTATATATGTTTTTATTGAATTTTTTCTTTTAGTGAATTATTTAAATATTTTTCTGTTTTCATTGAGTATGGAAATATTTAATAAAAAAGGATGAAGCGTAAGAAACTAGACATTTTATATAGGCAAGAGGACTTTCGGCCAATAGAGATTTAAATAAGATTCCGTAAAATATATAGAGTTATCCATCAATTGAAGATTATTAGAACCAAAAAGGCTAGCAAGTAAATATGCGATAATGTCTATTAATTAATTAAGCAAAATATGAAGTATATATGTATATAAAAACAAAAATAATAATAAAAGACCAATCCTTGTGGTGTGTGGAGAAGTTAATGAAAGTAGAGATATAAATAGTAACTTAATAAAGTATAAGATATGTATGAAAATATTTTTCATCAACTGTAGATTGTTTAAATGTTGATCTTTTACTCAATTCAATTATAGAAATATCACATATAATAAAAAAAAAAAAAAAAAAACAGAAAGTCTTTAGCTATCAAAACTCGAAATATGTCAGTTGAAGAGTCTGTGTATTAAAATAAATTTGTAGCATAAGCTTTGTATAATTATAAAAAAAAGGCTCAAGGGAAATTAAGCTCAATAAAATAAAAATAAAAACACAATAAATTTTCTTTTTTCCATTTAGCAGAAATCGCTTCTGACACTTTTGTCGACACCTATAATGCTTTACTTCGCAGGGATGCCGGCCCACAGTTGCGCTAAGAATATGTCTGCTCCAGCCCACACACACACACACACACAGACCCACACGCACAAAGACACACAGTTACACTCAGCTCTTGCAAATTTAATGGCAGCCACTGCTGTTGGCACTTACAGAGAGCCACCCGTAGAGCACCTCACCCTCAAGCCGCAGCGCAGCCACGACACCTCAGTCGGAGAGCTCATGTTACAGACAATTTGCGTTAAATTTACAACTAACGCCGTTCAGCAAATGCCAGGCCGCTGAGATGCCGCAGCCGTGTGCCTTGTTGTTGTTCTTGTTACTGTTGTTGTTGTTGGTTCGCGCAACCGCTGCGGTTGCTCTGCAGCAGCAGCGGCAACAGCAATTAAAGTGGATTTTCATGAAAATGAGTTTTCCTAATAGTTTATTTAGCCCGAAAATAAAATCATGGCGGTAGAGCGAATGCGTTGATTAACAGACGAGCGGCAGAGTGACGGAAAGAGAAAGACGCTCCGCCTGCTGCAGGTGATCCGACACTTTGCATAGCCATGAAGATAAGACGAGCATGAGGCTGGCTGGGCCAAGGATAAGAATCGGGTTGTCGGCTGACACAGCTGCCTCGCTTGTAATCTCAATCTGAAGCACTGACATATAATATTAGGTGTTATTATATAACAAGGGCTTAAGCGCCCATTCGTGTTGAGTGGAAGGACAGGTAAGCTGAGTGGAATTCATTGGCCATTAGTTTGATAATTTCGTTCAAGTGCTTGTGTTGGGATCGTCTATTAATTAGCGTTTAAGCTGCACGAATTACACCTAAATCAGCTGCACATTAATGAGCAGTCAATGCCGCTGGTTGCACCCACAGATTACTCATACGCTCCGCATGACAACGACGAAGACGACGACTGACTAATGAATATCTCGTGTTGCAAATCGATTGGCACAGCATGCTCACAAATCATTGCGCTGGCTCCTGGCAACAGCTTTAATGTGTCTCAAACACTGACAAGCTAATTAACTTTCAGCCAGGCCGACTCGGCTGGCCCTCAAGACTCGAGCACCCTCGGCCACTTGGCCAGGCTAAATGGTGGAGGGCGAAAGGGGGAGGCGGAAGCGAATGCCAGCAAAACGGACTCAGCTTCAATTTGCCTGCGAGATGGGTATTTACATATAGATTTTGTTTTGATTTTTGGTTTTGCCACTCAACGATGGGCAGCAGCAGCTTAAATGTATTGAACGCCTGCATATCTAGACATATTTTTTCGTATGTTTACTTTTGTCAAATCTCTCGATTCGTTTATATACCTCTACTCGTATATAGCGTAAATTTCCTGCTGGCAAAAACTAAATAACTTCAAACGGCTATGGCGGCGCACTTGAAGCAACCAACTTTGAGCGCGCTCAAGGCAACTTGATCGATAAGTGGGCAATAATAATGGCAATTTTGAAAACTACTTACGCTCTTGGATGGCTTCTTGGAACGTACCTGCAATAGAGAGAAGGTAATTGAAAAGTAATTAAAGTTTCGCATTAAAAGTCAAGCTCGAAACGGCGAAAGCTCATTTTGAATATGATATGATGTATAATGTGCACTTAAAGCGCGTTGGCTGGAGTAAATGCCAAAGCAGCTGATGATAAAGAGATTGTATATATGTTTGTGTTTGAGTGTGTGTGTGTGTGTGTGTGTGTGTGTGTGTGTGTGTGTGTGTGTGTGCATATCATTAAATGCAGATACAATTGCAGCCCAGACCCAGCATCCATCATTGTCAGCTACGCGCCCACACAGCGAGCGTCTTAGAGCAGACAAATCAGGCGATTGACTGTGGCCCTGGCATACAAAAAGAAAAGGAAATGAAACAGAAATATAACGCAGACACTGCGGCAATATATGACTTGAGCTATATAGTTACAATATAGGCAACAGCAATAGCAATAGCAACAGCAGCAACAGCAACAGCAGCTCAATAGGCGCCATTATGCATTCTGGTCGTGTTCTTTCGTGTGTGCTGAAGCACCTCATGTTGCACGCTGCTAATCAATCATGGGTTAGCTGCAGTTGGAGCGGCTGCTCTTCCAGCTGCTGCTCTCAATGGGCAATTATTGATTGATGCCAAGTGCAGAGCGCTCTAGGGGCGTCATTCAAGTGGCCAACGCTGCCTTGTAACCCTGATCTGGTGCCCTTTTTTGTATGGAATCTTGGGCCTGTTGTCAATGCAGTCGATGCGGCTTGCCATGTCAATGTTAAGATTTTAGGCATTGAAAATTTCCTTTGCAAGCTTGGCGGTCTTTTTGCTTCTCTTTTTCGTTGTATTCCCTTTGTCTTTAACGGCCCGAGAGCTTAAAGTATTTATTCGCCCTGACTATAGGATTTTCTGCAACAACGCAGAGTATTCCCTATCTGTTTGCTGCTGATATCAATTTGCTGGTTTTGTTGACGTTCCAAAATTTCTGAAATTTAAATATTTTCCAACAGCTACCATAATTTAAGCATTTTACGGTCTTCATTTCTCAAGAGTTTCGCTTGGGCATCTTCAACCTGTCCATATTGTATACATATTTATGGCAGTCCTTTGTATTCGTAAACAACAAATCAAAATAAACACCCCGAATTCAGGGAACTTTTGCTGCGCGCCCTGAGAAGTATGCTTCAGAAATTTTATTTCCATTTGGGATGACTTAAAAGTTCTTGCTGCGGCTTTGATTGTATTAGCATATTATTTGATTTCAATTTGACGAATGCTGAGCATATATTTAAGTTGTGCGTGAGCTCAACACAATGGATATCTTTAAATAAGTCCCGAAAATAAGGCGCAGCTGCGTAACTAGCAGACGACATCTTGATGTTGGTGTTGATAAGACAAAGCGCAAAATATAAAGACAAATAAAACTATAAATATATGAGCTCTCCTTTCTTTATCTCCGACCTCGCTCATCAGTTGAGAGGCAGAACTTATTTACATAAGTGCCGGCGCACGTGTTTGATATTTCGTTTAGTTTTATGCCAGACTCAAACACACGCACACACACATACATACGCAAAAGTGTATTTACACACACACACACACAAATACTGGATCCCGTTGATAATTCAATAAACTAAACAAGATTCTGCACAAGATTTATGGGTTTGCTGAACCCACACGTTAGACCCAGGCCAGAAAACCACGCTGAGAGGTTTATAAATCTTCATTTCAACACACACACACAAACACATACACACACCCATATCTTCATCTTCATCTACAGCTAGAGCTTCGAGTGACATCACGGCGGCAGTGGGCGTGCTTATTAAAATGCTATCTGTACGACGTTTCGTAGCCCAATTTAAAATTGGCTTCCATAATGAACGGCACGCAGCTGCTCTGTGAATTGCCAACACTTATGCTCAATAAATGCCCATAAATTTGTAGCACAATGCGCGCTACGGGCGTGCCATTAAAATGCACGGGCCATGCCACAAGGTAGGCAACAGACAAATGTCAAAAATAAAATATGCTCTCTTATGTATTCTCAGCTGTGCACAAACAAACAAACGCACACACACACACAGACAGGCACACATAGGTCTGTGTGGGTGTGGCGGTTGTACAAGTATCGTAAATCTGTGTATTATTTTCGCGGCATAACGTTGTAATATATATATTTATTGTTGTTTATTTTTTTTTGGTTCCCCCATTTTTTGTTGCTTTTGAAAATCCAAATATTTGTTACAGCCACGCCCACACTGACAGCTGTGCCGCTGCTAGCCGCTGGCTACAGGCAGTGCCTCCAGCCTACCACTCCTCACCTCCCACCTGCCACCTCCCGCCTTCAGCCTTAACGTGCACACATTAAATTGATGGCCAAAACGGCAGCATTTGCCAGGCAGCCAGCATTGATTAATTGACAGTTGACTCAGCGGCATTTTCGAGAGCGCACAGTCACTTGTCCCTCCTTCCCTCTCCCTCTCTCCCCCCTCTCTCTCTCTGTGTGTAGGTGTTGTTTTGACTTGAGCTTTGCCTAATGCCCAGCATTTTTTATATGTCAATAATGCCAAAAGCGATTTTTGCCGCATTACACAAAACTGCATTAAATTTCAGTCCATTAGACATGTCGCAATTTTTGTTGTCTTTGCTGTTGTTGTTGTTGTTGTTGGCCATCTACCACAACTGGCCTAAATGTCTTTGGACATTCTCTATCTGCAGTTTACGCATCAGTGAGTGCATTTCTTGACGCTATCGCCCATGCAAATTAACATTGTTCAATTTGGCCATGCAAATGAGCCAAATTTAAATTGTGTACAAAATTCTTCGAATAAAAAGAGCTGAATGATTTCACAATAGGAATAGAAAGAGAGATAGCGAGAGAGAGAGAGAGAGAGAGAGAGAGAAGTACCAATAGCAAAGACTAATTGGATTTGAATTGAATTGAATATTTAATTCGGAAGCCAACTCTTGTTTTTATTAATGAAAGAGAAAGAGAAAGAGATAGTGAGATAAAAGCTAAAACTTTTCCGGTATTGAATAGAGAAAGTGAGAGAGAGACAGAGAAATAGTTAAAAAGTGAAAACTGATTCCGAATGGTATTAAACCCTCTCCATTTTTTAAGTATGAAGAGAGAGAGAAAAAGAGATAGAGAGAGAGAGAGAGCGAGATTGAATTAAATTGTTAGCAGTGATTCTGAATTGAATATTTAATTCAAAAGCCAACTCTCCGTTTTGTTACTAAATAGATTGAGAGAGATACATATAAAACCTATGAAAATGTTTTCGGAGAGAGAGAGAGCGAGAGAGATATCCTATAAAAACTGTTTCAAAATTGAATGCTTAACTCTTAAGCTAACTCTCCACTTTTTTTTCGTTTGTTTTCGATTTTGGTTTCTAATTGGACTATTTCCTTTCGGTAATTGGTTTTCGCATCTAGCCCAGTTCGAATCCAATTCGAAATTCGAATAATATAACTGCATAGTCAGTTGGCCCAGGCCCGTTCGAATCAGTTGACAGCTAATTACAAACTACTAACAGTCGCAATTACATACGTTTGGGCAATGTGATTTTACGTCAAAGCACAAACAAATTGCAAAGCCCTCGATATTTGCATAAACTCAACGACGGCATTGGAATACTTGGGCACGTCGAGGACATTGAGTGTATTAAGAGCAAAATGCACAAATTGTTGCCATGCAAACGCATATTCATAAAACGTGACATTTGATGTGAGGTTGAATTTTAGTCAAGGCATCGACTGCCCTTAAATGTGTATGTGTAAATATTTCTACACACCCACGCACACACGTATATATCTATATGTATGTATTTGAGGACTTTTTGCAGAAACGGTAGCAAAACTCAAAATGAAACACAATTTACATATATTCATTTGAGGGCAGGTGATGACAGGAGAACAGGAAAGGGGAAGCGACAGAGCTAAAAGTGTGTAGATTTTTATGCGCACTCACACATGCGCACACACTGCCACGCCCACTGTTCGTATGCCAGCTCAGAGTGTTGTAAAGGTAAACCAAGCGACCTAAGCCTAATCTGCATAATAATAAACCACACTCACACACATACACCCACCCATACACACACACACACACACACATACTTAATTTCGCTTACAAAAAGTACCAAATTGCCACCTTAGCATTCGCTGCCTGCAGCCTTTCCCATCTCGCCCAGTAAGCTCTCAACTTTGCCCACTTGCCATATTTAATATTGTGTAAATTGAATTTCCATCACTTTATGATTACTTGATGCTTTCAAACGGAAATCTAACGGACACAGGCGTCTCGGCCCAGTCAACACAACGCAACCCAATTGACTTCAGTTTCATGAAGCAGGTGAAACAAAACTAAATCTGATTTTCGAGTTGAAGATCCTTAAGTAGCCGTAAATGTTATGGAAATGGATAAATGATTGGTGTCTAGTTTTATTTAGAATGTTATACATTTTATTTTAAAGTATAAAACTTATTTTAATATGAAATTCAAATACATATATTCTGATTCAATAACTTATATTTTTAAATTTTATTTATTTAAATCATAAAGTAATTCCAGAACTCAATTTTATTTTACATTTGAACCAACATAATAAAATATATTCTTAACTTTTATTTATTGAAATAATAAAGTTTTGCAAGAACTCAATTCTATATTATGATTTAACATAATAAAATATATTTATATAAATATATTTCAAATCATAAAGTTTTCCATTCAAGAACTCAATTTTTATCCGATTCAGCCAACAAAAAGCCATACATTTTTTAGGAGAAGACCGAAGCCTCTTTCCTATCGCAGTTCCCCTCATGAGACCGTCCTTCCCCCACTTTGTCAACCAAATTGAAGAACTTTTGGAAAGCAAATGTCAACATCTTAAATACACGACCTCAGGGCACAGCGAAATGCCGGCTCTGCGAAATATCAATCATTCAAGTAAACAATCCTAATTTCAGCTTAATTTTACGCATTGTGTAGAGTGACGGCTTCCCGTGAATTCGTGTGTGACATATACAAATAAAGAAGAAGAGAGTTTAATACTCATGACAAGTTTAAGCACAGGTGCCTTTAAATAAACTTTATAGCTGAGATAATGCACGGAGTTGCTGGATAAGTTAAGGAAAGTCAGATATGGGTTATACGTCAAGTCTGATGGAATTCCAGTTTCATTAAGATTCAGCTCAAAGTAGAAGCCAAAAACAAATATTAGATTCATAGCTTTGTTTAATTATGTATACATTTAATTAATTAACTTTGCTGTTAACAGCCGTGTTTAATTATATTTTAATTAATTTAAGTAAGTACAAAGCTCTCACGTAATGACTGAAGAATTGGACTATACAGGAATGTTTCATGGCTGAGCCCCATAGGCCCGCCAGAGTTTAAAGCCTTCTTCGCCAAGCAACGCTTAACGTTGCCATTTTAATCAACCAGGTGGGCGAACATCATTGACAGCACCTGCACTAATAAAACTTTATTGTCGCTGCACGCTCCGGCTTTAGTCTCCTGGCAGCAACTACTGTGTGTTTTTTTTTTACTGCCAACAACAGCAATTTATAACGTTGTAATATCTAAAACTGGGGGCAAGTAGACATGTGTATGTGTATGTGAGCTTGCAACTGCCTGCAGCAGCTACGTGGCCTTTGAAATGAACTTGCTGCATAGCTGCACACCGACAACCAACACCTGTATATTGTTAAGCGCATACCTGAGGGATTTCTAAAGCATTCGAATTGAATTCCATTTTTATCCGAGACTTTACTCTCCCACTTTTTTCCCACAATCTTGCGTAGTTTTCCGTGTCTTACAATATTTTCAATTGCCATAAAATAAGGTCTGTTTAGATGTTGCTGTTTAGATGAAATGAATCCAATCAAATTTTTTTTTTTTTTTTTTTTTATTCTGGCCAATTCTGCTTACCTAAATATGCATAATTACTGATATCAGATTTCAGCTTTGAGCACTTCATAATAAAAACGAGGCTTGCAATTTATTTGGTTAATTTATTTGAATAGATATTATATTTGTTTACAACGCGCGTACGTTTCGCATAAAATGTATTTTAATTTTATATCGAATTTACTGGTTATTCTGGTTGTTGTTTCACATAACTTTAAAATTGAATTATCTCGTTTGTTGTTCGGGTATACGGGATGCTGTTCAAACAGACACATAGAGAACTCTTTAGTATACATCGAAAATTAAATAATTACGTATATGTAACCATATGTATTATTAATTTGTTATTCATATTTCTATACACATACATACATATATGCATATATGTATATCATTACATATATATACACATATATGAGTTAATTCACACACATAAAACTTATCCAAAAGTTATTTGATATATAAAATGCATATCATTTACTAGAACTATGCCAACAGCTTTGATTCTGATTCTCATGCTCCTACAATTTCCAGTTGCTGCTATTAATAAGTGCGATTGCTTATAAATCCATATACATTTCCTACTACATCTCTCCATCCATCTACATACATTAATTCGAGTATCCTAGGCTTGAGCAGTGTTGCCTTGAGCTCATTGGTTGCGCTTGCTATTGTCCTTGTCCTTGTCTTGCTGCATTCGCCTCTCGCCTCTCGCCTCTTGCCACTTGCCTCTTGCCTCTGCTACATAGTTTGCTGCTTGCTTATACGATTCGTATGCGTTTCATTTATATTTCATTTATTATTTATTTTATTTTCCTTTTGTTGTCCAGCATCCAGCCTGGCCACATGTTGCGTGCTTAGACTTTGGCATAGTTGTCAATTGAGACGTTTATATAAATTTATTTTGCTTACATTTTTACTTGGCTTGAGTGTATGTGTTTGTGAGTGTGTTTGTCTGCAACTGTTCAAGTGTCTTTGTGTGTATTTAGTTGAATGCAACATCAATAAAACATCAATAAAAATTTGTTAACAACACTTGTATAAAATCGCGATGTTACGACGGTTGGGTTACCCATAACTATGTATATGTATATACATATTATTATAAATTATGTAAACATGTATATAGGGTTTTTTAATATTGATTTGCTCATAACAACATTTAACAAACACACAAGGTAAACGTCTACTTATAGATGTGTTTTGCGGCATGAGGAATGATCCAAATTTTGTTGATTTTTAATTTGTCTAAAAACTTCACATCACAGCCAATGGGTACTGACGTTGGGATGTCTTCTTCTTCTTCTACTTTTACTTTTACTTTTACTTCTACTTCTTCTTCTTCGATTAATAGCGCTGTAGCGCTCTCCTTCGATCTCTGACGATTCTCTCATTCTCTAGCCCATTCGCCTCATATGGGATGACCTTGGATTCTAGATGTGACTCGTATGGTTGGTAATGTGGACATCGATGGACGACGGCGGTATAATGCATCAGCTTCTCCTCTTCATCATGTTTTTGTTGTAGTTGTTTTTGTTGATGGTTGGCACTGGTTGGTGCCATGACAATTAACAGTTTGTCGATCTGTGTTATCCATCTGGGAAGTTGCCAGGTCCCAGCTGGAGCATGTCTCATTTGGGCTCCTCGAACTGCTGCCCCACCACTATGATGATGACAATGAATACCGCCAGGAGCACCAAGATGCAGCAAATGGCCACGGCCACCATAGCGCTGTTACTCATTCGGACGTTTAAGTGGAAACCGTCTGCCTCAACAGGAGCCCGAAGATCTTAGCTTCGCTGCGTCTATTTTCCGTTTAATTGCTGTGTAAGATACAGAGATTTGTTGTTGTTGTACTGTGTTACCCTTTTTACCTTTTTCCATTGTTTTCTTTGCTCTTTTTTTTTTTTTTCTTGTTGACCTAGCCTGTGCACAGTTGAGATCATCCGTGGGGACTAACCCAGGCCCAATTACTTGTCATAACTTCCCGACACATGCTCTCTGTTGGCATTGATATATGCCCTCACATGGCTGCGGGCGGGCCGAAACAAATTGCGTACCATAAATTTCGAGGACTGCCTATCAGTCGCTTGACTGTGCGTAAAATGCCTCGGCTAAGGTTCCGGTTACCCGCCCTCCCGCTCCCACTCCCACCAACGTGTGCGCTGTGACAGCTTGTGGACAGCCCAAAACTTGTCATACGTCGACGTTCGCATTGTGCGCAGGCTACATATACATATACATATATATATATATGTATGTGTGTGAGTGTGTGTGTGTGAGCCAGAGTCTATCAGAAGGCGCACAAGTGGAAATTTGCCAAAAATCACAACCAATAATAGTGAGATAGACGACTGACTCAAGCCGTCTATTAATGCCTCTGTCGCTATTCTTGTTTCTCTTTGGCATTGGATCAGTGGAGTTGTTAACACAATGCCTACGAGTGGCATTTGTGGCTCAGATAACACTGTTGTTGGTTGTTGCACTCTCTGTAATATCAAGTGTCAATTTACCTGCCCTCGGCCAACAATGACGCCTTTGACAACAACATACCTAACAGCAGGGGTTGCTGCGCGGCCAACCCTTTCGATAATTGACACAAAGTCATTCACTTAATTTCCCGCTGAGTGGACGAAGTGCACACAGCGGGAAAATTCAATTATCAAGCAAGGCAAGGCTTGACAAGCTCTATTAAAAAAAAAAAAAAGTAGCGAAAGGAAAACTAGTTTAAATGTGTAGAAATAATTCGATTATGAGCCCACAGGAATTCAATCATGTACAAAACTTTACGAGACTGTCGAGCAGCACAACAAATGTTTGTTAAGCTCACAGCAAAGTTGATAAAAGTGAAAATAAAAATGGAAAATAAATATATTTGCCAATATCAATAATTCCATGTCCTGTGTGCGCTTAGAATCAAGTGCTCGCATATATATATATAAATATAAATTATATAATATATATAAAGTATACGAGAGAAATGAAAATAACGCTGACAGTTTGGCAATGGGAAAAGACTTAGCTACATCAAGACAAACAACAACAGTGAAACCAACTGCAGCTCAAATAATAAAAAAACTGAATGAAGGAGAAACACAGTTTGGAAAAGTTATTTCCAGCTCCCATCGCCCACCTCCCACCTCCAGCTCCAAAGGTGAGCATAAAAACTAATGCAGCAACAGCAGTGAATGGCCACAGCTGCTGACAGTCGACGATGAATAAAAATGAGAGAGAGAGAGAGAGAGAGAGAGAGAGAGAGAGAGAGAGAGAGACAAAGAGAGAGTGGGAGAGCGATTGAGAAAAAGAAATCAAAATATAAATATAAAAGCAGACAACATTCTCAATTGAATATTTGGACAGGGCTATTGGCGCTGAGGCAGCTGGGAAACTCTCCTGACAGCCATTGGGAGCTGAGCGGACAACATTTCGTATTTTCAATTTCAAGCGACATTTAGAAAGGGGCGCCAGGCACGCCCACCCACAGCAAATATCTAAGGCTAGTCACACATGCCGTATTGTAGATTCTACCTCATTTATATAACTCGGCTATGCAATCTAATAATTGACCCAAAAATTTGGGCAGAAATTCCGATTTGCCAGCCGCTGCTATTTTTACATATTTTAACGTTATTTTATTTGGCTTGCCGTTGGCCTAATTCCCGCTTTTATTTATGTGCATTTTTCCTTAACAATGCCCAAAACAAATTTGTTATTTTGGGCTCTTTTTTAAATAAACCCGACATAGTTTTTTTTTCGCTCCGGTCATGTCCCTTTTGGCTGTTCCTTTTGAATTGGTCAATTAATATTAATGAAACGGCAGCAACTGCCTCAACTAAATGCGCCCTGCTGCGCGGCAAATGAGGCGGGGCATAATTTATGCGCCGCTGTCTGCTCACGAGCTGCGGCTTGAAAAATTTTAAATTCAACTACATCATAAAGCCAAATATGTCATAAAAAGAGGAGAAGGCGGGGAGTGGCAGGACGGGTAGGATGCTTTGCCAGAGTCGATTATTTTGCAATAAGTCAATTTATCAGTTTATGTGCAGCTTACGCAGGTAAAGCAAGCAACGCTCGAAAATGTAAATATGCTAAACAGACGCTGCGTATACGTAACATATTGCCAGCTTTTGTTGTTGTTGCTGGCTGTTGTTTAATGACAAACGATAATAAACCTAAAAATGATTCATACTTTGTTTTTGTTCTTGTGAGGGAACTGAAGGCAAGAGAAGCAGCAAAGTATCCGAGTCAGAGTGGATGGCGCACTTCAAAGACCTACAGCACATTTTACTGACATATATCGCCTGCCGGTTTGTCGACGGATCTTAATTAAATTAGCGCCTTCCTCGGAAACAACAGCTGGCTTTGAAGGCGTCGCGCCACAAGAGGACATGACGGCCAGACAACGCCCAACTGACAGCGCGTCACCCGACAGATAGAAGAAACAAAAAACACACACACACACTCACACTCACACACAAGCGAAAAAACCGAAAAAATAATAATAATAAATAAAACAATACACACACCACGCTTTCCCTATTCCCGGACGGGCAAAGCAAAAAATACGTTTTGCAATTTCGTAAGTTTTATGCGAGCATTTGCAGAAATTTGTTTATGCTGGCTTGGAGGAGGGAGGGACGGCTCGGAATAAAAAGGCGCTGCCAGTGTCTGATGGTGCGTAGCCATCGACATCATCAGCTGCGGGTGACGTTGGCAAATTTTTCAAGCCAACACGAATTCAATTTTGTGTCAAGAGCAACAGCGACAGCCACAGAAGGACTTTAAGTAAGCACAAAAAAAAACAAGTAAGAACGTTGCAGTCGGGCGTTACCGACTGCGGAATACTCATTCACATCCCATCAACAATTTAGTAGTTAAGTTTCGCTCTAATACTGTAGAATATACAGGCTTTTCCGATTTGCCACGCCTCTACTGGGCGTAAACACCTCATTTTTGGTCAGTTTCTAGAACGAGATAACAGTACCTTAACTGCAAAGATTGAATGCTTACTCTCAAAAAAAGTGAAAATTACAGGGTATTTTTCGATATGCCACGCCCCTAAAGAGGCGTAAAAATTATTTTTTGGGGAATCGATAGAGGAGGCTACCAGTAACTCAACTATCTAAATTTGAAGCTTCTAGCTATTATACTTTAGGAGATATACATTTTTGCAGTTTGCCACGCCCCCTGTGGGCGGACATATATCCGACAAAGCTTTTTGGTCTTGGGTGATCAGCCCGAGTATATATACAAAATTTGAGATCTCTGGCATCAATAGTGTCCAAAAAATAGCAGAATTTGAAAAATCACTATATCTTCAGGTCCGATTTGCCACGCCTCTAATGGGTGTAGACTTATAATTTTATTTTTAGACTTTATAAAATCATAACATTAGGTGACATGCAAAATTTCAGCATTCTAGGTTTACAACTTTAGGAGATACAGTTTTATCCGATTTGCCACGCCCCCAATGGGCGGAGATATATCCGCCATAGCTTGTGATCTTGGGTTGTCGACGCGGACCTACATACCAAATTTCAGCTTTCTAGCTCTTTAACTAACATGATTTCTGGTATATCGGAAAATGCATTTTCCGATTTGCCACGCCCCTAGTGGGCGGATCGGGAAAATTTTAACACTTTATAAATCGGAGATATACACGAGTATGTGTTCCAAATTTCAAGTCTCTAGCTTCAATAGCGCCGAAATAGATTGCGTTCATACGGACAGACGGACAGACGGACGGACGGACAGACGGACAGACGGACAGACGGACGGACAGCAAGACGGACATTGCACAAAACCAATATACTGATTCACTTTCGTGAATGAGTATATAAAAAAAAAAAAGAACTACAATCAAGCTAGAGAAAATTGCATTGGCGCAGTGTAAACGCTGCGTAATTGCGGGACGCAGCATTTGGGGCAAGTTCAGGCGGCGGGCGACCTTGAGGCAGTGCCGCCAAGTGTTGTACTCAATGGGCGGCTCAGCGCCTGTAGACAAACAATGCCAGCCATAAATGCTTTAAAGTGCTTCAAGATTGTCCTCTATGTTTTTGTTGTAGTTGCTGCAGCAGCAGCAGCTGTTGTCTTGCAATGTCAAAAGTCAAAAGTGCATTAAAATAATTGCACTTGTTTAGTCAGGTCTCAGGCAGAGCTGCCAGCTGTAGGCAGTCAGCGAGCTTTGCTGATTTCGAAAAACACACAGCCAGGTGTGTGCGTGTGAGTATGTGTGTGTGTAAGTGCCCGCCGTAAGTATTTCCGCAACTGACTACACTTAAGCTAGATCTCAGCAAAAATCTTTTGTCTTAAATTTTAAGCGCCCGTCTGCCGTTTAAAGAGACAGAGAGATAGAGACAATGAAATGCAAAGCGAATGAGACCGATTAGGGAAGAGGCAGAGCGACAATTTAACCTCGGCGCAAAGGCCACACTGTTTCCTGTTGTAAGGCTACCTCCACATGCCAACAGCATTGTCCTGTCCTGTTGCATGCCTCGCATTCACGTTTGCTTTATGCGGATGCTTTAAAGATTACGCAAATGTGACACAAAGGCCTTTTTTTTTATGACTCAAAAGATATCGTCGTACAAGGCAGGACAACGCCAATGTCCTGGCCGCTTTGTGCGTCAAGGCAGCAATGCGGGCGCCCAACGAAGATTGATGAAATTCTTGGCTAAATGACATTCTCACTTAAGTATCTGCCACTACTGACTGCTCACTTTACGCCGCACAATTGGCTGTCATCGATGCAGGGAAAAGCAAGTGTCACACTGCTGATGCTGTACGACGAGGGAATACGCTGGCCATAGCGTGGAACACAAAAATATATATACATATATATATGCTGACAATATTTTCTGTTCAGCTTCAGCAAGGAGATTAAGTTAATTATAGTTAGATTAACTCTTCTTTAATGCTATGCTTCTTCTTTAATCGCTTGTCTCATTCATTCAATCTAGTCGTTTTATTTTATTTTATTTATTTGTTAACAGTCTCATATGTATTAACAGTCTTGTGATGGAGTAGCCTAGTTTTCCATAACAGGACTGTTAATACTAAATACGACACTGTTAACAATATAGTGAAGGCAATATTAACAGAAAAGGAGAAAAGAATGAAATGCTGAAGAATGAAATATGGTATAAAAAGTAAAAAAGAAAAGCAAAATGCTGTTGGCCTGCTACAACATTAAGTTTAATTTTAATATACCACTAAATTATCAGTCAATATAGATTTATCTGATCAGCATGACGATAAAGAAATGGCAGAATAATGTATCGCTCTCTATGATTGTATTGGATTGAGTCTTACTTGACAATTATATATGATTTCTAATTGCATTTTATATGCTGCAGTTTTATGCAATGTCTGCAATGTCTTCATTTCACTTGTGTAGAGTATTCGGAATGAGCCAGCATAGTTCTGCACATTTCATTTATATTGCGTTTGACATATTTAATTTGCAAAAATATTGAAATGCAAATGAGTCAATTGGTTTTACATATGCATGATTAAATTCAAAGTGACTCTTGCATGCGGACGCATTGGCATCTGGAATCGCTTTGGGGTGAATTGATTTATTTAATGGAAATACACAATCAGCGCTTATCCGTGTGAGTGACACGTTATTACTGACATAATTATGTGCTTATGCTATTAATATTTAATATAGCCACAGACTTTGCGGGCCAGACACATTAACGTGCTTCATTGATATCGTTGTAATACGGTTTTAGTTCTTGCCAATTCCGAAGCCGAGATATTTGTGGCACAGCAAAACTTTTTTTTTGACTATGCCAAAGTTCGACAAGTTTGCCCTCGTAATGCTGTCAAGTCGTATCATTCGCACTTTTATGACGTAGCCCTGAAATTGATTGACCGACTGCAGCTACATACCTAAGCGAAAATGCCTTTGGCTAATTGATTGGATTGCTTGAATAATAAATATATATGTATATTGGCAATATCATTCGACTCGTCTTTGCTTATAAATACATAAGTAGTTCTCAAATATGTTTAAGTTTTCATTTCATAAATCAGAGTCTGATGCAATAAAAAGCGATTGGGAGTTACGACAGCTGCGACAATAAATTTGCGTATATGAGAAATTGTAAATTAAAATTAAATTTATGATTCAAAATTCTCGAAAAATTCTTGTGCAGTGCCTCCGTCAAAATAAACAGCATTGTTTGCTTTTAATTTGGCAGACATGCTGTTTAACTTGTCGTATACTTAACGCTTGCCATTTGGTCTTTAACCTGTTTTCAATTAGGCCGCTACTCGCGCTACTCACGATTAGGCAACTGTGAGTACTTTAATTAGGGGACTTAGAGTCTTGCTGACAGCCACTTGGTAATTTCTGAAAATTGTTGGAGGACATCCGAAGCGGGAGTGGGCATAGGGGTCTATTACATTTTAATCAGAGAACTCATTAGCGCCATCTACAAGGAAAATACAATTTAGAGTAGTGGGCGTGCTCAGTCGCCCATCGCCTAAAACTGGCAGTGACACTGGCAGAGCCGGTGGCGTGCTGTGCACAGCGCAAAGTTTGTTGGCTAAAAAGTTTCTTGGCTGACAGGCATCACGTTGATGTAATGAAAAAGTTGCGATATATTTCTATATTTTTCATATCACATGACAGCGCCAGCAAGTGTTTCAACTAGGCCAGCTGGCCGGAAATTTGCACTGGCAAAGGAAAAAAAAAAAAACAAAAAAAAAAAAATTAAAATAAAAAAAAAAAAAAAAAAACAACCACAATAGAATTGAGGGAGCGAGTTAAAAGCAAATATGTGAAAACAAAAACCGTTTTACTCATGAGCTGAGCAGGCTAATTAATTTCGGGCTGGTGGTCTCAAAAGTTACGCATACGCAACGTGCGCCCAATGCCAATAGGCAAAAATTAAAATAATTTCCTTTCCTTTCCATTCCTCTCCTTTCCTTCGTCGGCAAATAGTAATGAAAAGGCGCAGCGCACCGGAAATAATCAAAAAATAAAACGGAAACTTTGCCATGGCCACGCCCTGCAGGCAGGGCCAGTCAGCCGCCCAATGCTTAGCATATTTCTTTGCATTTCATTGGGGCAAGAAATTCACTAAATACGGCCAGCCATATGAGCCGAGGAGCGCACTTCAGCATGTGTGCGTTGCCGTGGGCGTGGCCGTAGGCTGGGCGTGGCAAGAAAGAGTTTCACGAGTCTGCATAAAAATTAAACGAGTGCAGCTTATTATGAAATATACATAGTTCGTCAACCAGAGCTGCGGCTACACACCGAAAAGCCAAAGGGGAAGAGGAACCATTCCAGCCAAAAAGAAATTTTAACGATGCACACAAAAACCCTGCGACAGCAAATGAATAAATAATTTATGCGTAAGACCCTCAGACAGGCCTCGGAGTCAGGCATCATTTATAGTCGTCGTCACTCAGCCTTTTCGTCTTAACATTTACCACACGTAGCAACTTTTATCTCTCCATTAGCTGGAAAACCAGCTAGCTGAAGCTGGCAGAGGTGGCAGACACAAGTTGCCAAAAAAAAAAGGAAAAAAGGGCAAAAAAAAAAAAGGGAAAGGTGGCAGCAGTTGGCTGTTTCTCTGCGTAGGCTGGCTAAAGGGTTGAGGTTATCACTTCGATATGCTGTTTGCTTATCACCTGGCCGACTATACAAACAGAGCCACAAATGCACAAACGCAAAACAAGCAACGATTGGCTATTGATTGACTATTTGCACAGTTGGCACGTTTCAATCTTTGCAACGACTGGCAAATTGCTCTGCTAGAGGAGCACCCACTCGGAGTATCGTGATCTCTCAGGCACGGCAACACCCCAGGGGTATCCTGCTCAGCGCGTGTGGCTCAAGCATTTTAATTAGTTGCTTAAGAACCGTTATCAAATCAACTGCTCGTCGCCTGTCAGCGGCAGTCAAGCGTCGCAGACAGGCATTCGCAATTAGATAAGAGTCAATTACTGTCCGACTGGACACTGGTGCTGATCCAGCTGTAAAACAACAATTTTACAATTCACATTGCGTTGGCTTTGTCCAGGTCCATAAGTCCCCTCTACAATTGTCCTCAGCTAATCCGAACTACTTCTCTATTTGCTTTGATGTCGCAATCGCCCGCTCGCTCACTCGCATGTCTGCCTTTCCATTGTGCAAAGGACGAATAAATGGAAATCATTGTTAACAATGGGGAAATCTGTTTGCCTATTCGGCTGAGTCAACTAATAATAGAAGTATTCCTTAAGTGCAATCATTTATGCATTGTAAGCACTGAGTCGCAGCTGGTTGGGATTAGTTGAATTTTAAGTGCTCTTCTGCTGTCTCAAATATGTGATGTTTCGTTATATGAATTACATACTGTATGTTAATTAAATGTTAAATAAAGTCTATGTATATATCCGTAGTACACTTGGCCTAAGTTTTGTAATCCGTCTTCGTTTATTGCATGATCTCATCGAAACTCCGAATATTTTCCACCACTCGATTCTCAAATGTGCACAGAAAAGCCAATTTTTTGTACAATTTTCGAATTACATTTAGATATATTTACGCTTTATTTGCGCGAAACCCTCGCAAATAGACGATGTCCTGTATCAGTTTATTGTGTTTTTGGGTTTAAGCTCTTCTTCTCAATCTTTATCGTTACCGCGCGGTACAAGCTCAATTGCTCAAAGAACTGAAGAAGAAGAAAGACGCGCGAATAGTGCACACAAAGAAAAATGCGAATGAAATTAGATTAAAATTTGCAACATAAAAAGGCATAGAAGCGATTAAAAAAAAAAAAAAAAACGACGCACGACTTTAAGCAATCTCTTCGAATTTCAAGCGACTCTTCCGAAACACGAACCAAAAGTAACGGTTAAGCTGCTGCTGAAGCTTGTCACACGACACGACTTGTAGTTTGGCTTTGACTGTTGCTGCTGCGACTGCTGCTCTGCTACTGCGACTGCTGCTGCTGCTGCTGCTGCTGTTCCTGAAGCGTTGGCTGAAGCGACTTGCGTGCCTGGCCGACTGTCATCGACTGAGTTGATTCGTGCACTGCCAACGCAATATAAAGCCATGTGAGAGCCGAGCGCGCAAGAGAGAGCACGAGAGTCGATGATTTATATCAAAGTGAGTGTGTCAGTGTGTTTGAATGTGTGTCTGATAGCAAGGACTGAGTAAGCGAAAGCTTTTGCCATAACTTTGACTGCTTGGCTGCTGCCGCTGTTCGACAATCGCATGAACGCAACTCACATTCAATAAATCTTGAATCAAATTGAATTTATGATTCTTTTATTACTATTTTTTTCGCACAGCATATTCGCTTTAGGGATTTCTCCTCTGCATTCTCCCTTTCACTCACACTTACACCACTTACAGCTTCTGTTTGGCTTACGCTTTGGCTTTCTCAGACAGAATCTGTAAGTTGTTTGTTTTGGATTTTGGTTACAATTGCCACAGCTACGGCTCAGCGAGTTGCTTATTTCATTTGTTTCGTTTGCTCTGTTTCTAATAGGACGACAAGTTGCCACTTGACACGCCACCGCGTTGCCTTTCATAGATGTTAAGTATTAAGTTTGGCTTTCATTATCTGGCAAATTAGAGAGAATCCATTATGCTGCCAATACTCATATAGTCAGCAGTTTTTGCGCGCCAAACAATGGCTGTATTACCCAATAAACAATTTCTATAGGCACTGATAACCGTCGGATGTGATAAGATGGCCATTGGAATTGCGCAGACGCGAGCCTAAAGAGAAAGACAGAGAGAGAGAGCGGCCGTAACTGGCTCAAATGATAAGACAGTAACGAGCCAGCCGCCAGCCGCCAGCCAGACGGACGTTTGAATTTACTTAAATCGCCGCTCGGATGCGGCTAGCGATAATAATGAGGGACATTTAAGGAATTGTCATTGATTTCCTTTTGTTTGCCTTTGTATTGATGTTTTCTTCTTTTGGCTTTTTTTTCTGTTTGTTTCTCTTATTGTTTTTCTTTTGGCTTTGGCACATTAGGCAATTGTTGAGCGCCAACCGACTAAGTAAGTCCTTAAACTGAGGATCGCAAATTCAATTTTATTAAGCAGCTGTCTGTGCCCTGCTGCATTGTCTTAAATAATTATGTTCGCGTTTAATTAATAAGTTTACCGCAACAACAAAGGCTGGCAAGCAAATTGCCAAAAAAAAAAAAAAAAAAAAAAAATAAATAAAAAAATAAGAAGGAAAAGGAAAAGGTCGCAGCCTATTGTCTGTGCAACCCAAACTTTATAATAAAGTTGTTTTTAATTATATGTATGTATGTACATAAGTGACGAAAGAGGTAGTTTGGTCTGGGACAAGGTATGTAACTATACTTAATATATTGATATATTCTATATTAATACCAACAAAATTAGATATCTGAATAATAATATTATATATAAATTTTGTTTGTTATGCATACATATATTAAATTATATATCCATTAAATTTAAATGTTGTATATTAAAATGTATATTTATATATATATCAAGCCTACAGCTCACAGCTCATAGCTCACAAATAACTAAAACCCGCTATTTATTTCGCTCTGTACGCGAGATCAACTGAAAGAAAGCCAAATCGCTCTCTCTCTCTCTCTCTCTCTCTCTCACTCTCTCTCTCTCTCTCTCTCTCTCTCTCTCTCTCTCTCTCTCTCTGAGCAACAACCTTCGGTTCTGTTCGTCTTGGTGTTCGGTTGAGAGCCTTGCGTTGAGCTGTTCGTGTGACGCTCTTTTAACGAACATCGTTTGGGGAACGATACGATTGATGCTTGCACAATGACTAAGTAAGCAACTGCTAAAAAAGTCAATGCAGACGAACACATATACATGCACACACTCAACACACGTACGGTTGTTCTCTGTGAGTAAAAGTCACTTATTTGCAGACATCGAAAAACGGTGAACAGTTAGTTGTGAGCTTTGATTGTTGCTAATAGGTATGAAGAGTAGAGACCGTATGTCTAACCAGTAATAATTAAAGACTAGAAACACTGAATATTAATATTCATTTAAAATGAATTTTTTAATGCTCAACAGCATATCAAATAATGATCTGAAAATTATTTAAGTGTCCAAGCATAATATATAAAAGTAAGTTTAGTTTACTTTACCCATGCAGCTTAATCAGCTTACAGGGTATCGCCAAAACGGATTTTTTTTTTTATTTGTGAAAAATGAGCAGCATCAACACAGAGCGAAAAAAAAAGATGTTAAAAAGTTGACGCAAAGGACTTGAGCGCAAGTCCTGGGGCAAGGTTCGCTTTGGTTCGGTTGGTCATTAAATTCGTGACCTTTTTTTGTTTCATTTCATTTTGTTTTATTTTTTTCTTTTATCCACAATGTCGATATAAATAATGAGCTGCTGCTCTCAGAGTGTCAGTGTTTGGGGTCAATTTGCAAATATTGTCAAATGTATTAGGGCAGCGTTTAAAAGTATGCTAGCATTTATACGTATATTTATTTATATGCTCAAGCGGCACTCTGGTCCTAATACAGCTGCCAATCAGCAGAGCCACAACAACAGTGGACTTGATTGGCACTCAAAGGACATTTGCCGAGAACAAAGCTTTGCGGTAAACAGCAAACTTGGCCTTAATTAGTCTTATGTTTTGTAGTATAGTGTAGTGTAGTGTGTTTTCTTAAGTTGTTGATTTGTTGATTTATGTTGACCAGGCAGCAAATGTGTAAATTTCAGTTAGCCTAATTAAGTGAGCTGGCCGCGGGACTTACCTGCATAGAATAAAGGTAGCAAATTGAAGACAATGACAAGCGGAAATACAGTGCGTGCAAATTTTTGCATATCCATAAAGAATTTGACAGTCCGAGTGCCCTGGGCAATGGCAGCGTCATCGTTTGTGCAGTGTTGATAGACTTTTCGTTGTTGTTTGGTTGTTGCTGTTGTTGTTGTTGTTGTTGTTGGTGTGACTGCTGTCTGTGTTGCTGTTGTAGAGTCTTGACCTTGGCCGTGTTTATTTTTGGAAGATAAGCGTGATTGTATTGCTGGCTTGCATATGCTGGCTGTTGCCGTTGCAGCCGTTGTATTGCAGTTGTCAGTGGCAGCCAATTGAGAGCGCCCAACAGCAGCAGCAGTGGCACCCATAGTTGCAACAGCAACGCGCTGCCATCCCGTACCGCTAGAGCCAATATCGTTGTAGCCGTCAGTGACATTAGCACCATATGAACGTGCAACAGGATATTGCTGATGCGGCTGCTGTTGCTCAGACTCTGTGCCAACATGCTGTAACATTCTGTTGTCCCTGTTGTTATTGCTGCTGTTGTTGTTGTTGTTGTTGCTTCTGCTACGACTGCTGCTGATAGCGATCTCATATATTGTCCATAACCAAGTTGACACACCTTTCTTACTTCCGCTCGTTTGTACATCATCTGATGATGTTGCTGCTGCTGCTGCTGTTGCTGTTGTTGTTGTTGCTGTGGCTGCCCCGAGTGTTGCTGGTGTAGAAAGCTGCCATGTTGCTGCGGCTGCTGTTGCTGTTGTTGTTGTTCCTGCTGCTGCTTCCAATTCACTTTGTGTTGTTGTGTGACACACAAACGCTTCACTTTCAAATTGCTTCCGTTTGCTGTTGACCGTGTGTTGCTGTTGTCGTTGTTGTTGTAAGAGTTGGTTTGTTGTGGAAGAAGGAGATTTGTTTGTTGTTGTTGTTGGTGTGTTATAGAAATGTCGTATCTGTGCTGAGGCCATGTTGTGCCCTATAAATGGAAAGAGCAGAAAACATAATATGTTAAAAAGATGTCACAAGTAAAAGTAAAAAAAAAAAAAAAAAACGAGTCCGTTAACCCTAGACCTAGAGAAAACGAGTCCAATGCAAACAAATGATACGCACACACACATAGACACACACACACATATATATCTATCTGTATATCTATCTAACTGGACCAATACCCAAATTTCATTGATGGAAGTTTTATGGGCCTGGTCCAGTCCGAGCTCATTCTCATGCTATTTAGAGGGAATTCCTCGGCTCGTGTTGGCCGGGATTAAGCGTCCCGCAAAAACATTCCATGCTCTGTGTATTTAGGCTATCGCCGCCATCTGCGCTACTTTTTAATCAATTTCCACTGGCGTTTGCTGGCGGCACAATCCATTGACGTTTTGTTAACCAATCCCAAATGAGGGTTCATTTCGTTATTCTTTCTATTCTCTTCCTCTTTTTTATTTTCATTCTCTCTCTCTCTCTCTCTCTCGCTTTGTTATTTGCAATTGCCAACGGCTTCTTTTTATGTGTGATTTAAAGCTCATCTTATTAAATCGATTTAATAGCTTTTTTTATACACAAATTCGAATTGTATTCAGCGAGAACTGTGGGCAAGCAGGCGTGTGACTACAGTATTTGACGTCTCATCTTATCTCATGGTGGGTCTCTTTTACGAATTCGAATGACACGGGATTTACAGTGCATATTCATTACTTTAGGTTGGGGCTTAAGAAAAAATACGGTATATTGAATATTTATCTGAACTTTGGCTAATATGAAATTTTAAAAAATATTTGTCTTTCACATATATATTTATCAACTGGGATTTCAATCATTTAAAAATGCTAGAAGCGTAAGCAATACTATATGTAATCAAAAAATAATAAAGTTCCTTCAACTAACTAACTCTTATGGCTTAACTTTTAGAGCTTAGCGCGCTGGTAAATGACAACAAGTTGCAACAAATTAAAAATTGAAATAATAGGAATTACATGTACAAAATGCAATGTATTCGTTCAATGTCCAATGCAATGGAATATTCAATCTGTGATTATATAACTACAGTGTTTAGATTTGTATGACATGAATATTCATGTAAAGAGCCAAAGTCTCCATCCACATGCATATATGTCCTTTATATCTGCGTTTCATCTGTGATATTAAAAATGGTTCATCTCAACAACAATCAAGCGTTTTAATTAACCTACGAAAAGCAAAAGTCAAACTGTGGACAGCAATGTGCGTGACTTCGTTGAGAACAAAAATGACAAATTAAATGCAAAATGAATTTTTTACTATTCAGAAATAACTATGTTCATCAATTTAATTTATTTATATTTTTTGTGTACTGAAATCCTGGAAAACTTGTAAATGCAGCTCTAGGTAATATATAAAACTCTCTCTGTTATTTTCTGCTTTGACATGTTAACTTAACATTTCAAGTTTATGTTAATTTAAAATCCCATCTACATAATCGGAGCTTTTCAGGACATACGAAAGCTTAACACAAAAAGCTGTAAGTTGAGTTCCTTACACTTTTGTCTCGTGCGCACTCATAAGCTCTATTGCTGTTAATATTGCTACAGCTTTTGACAGCTTGTCGCAACTGAGCTGTTAGGCCGAGAGCTTTTAGAACATCTTTAGCACCCATAACTCATTTTGGCAGCAAAGCGCGTTCGCTGTGAATAATAATAAATTATCGTCAAGTGCATTAGATTAGCTTAGCCAGCATGCCACGCCCACATTCTTAGGCCGCAGCACACACATATATCAAAATATAACAAAATGCCGAACGCCCAGAACCCGAGCCACGTCAATAACAGAACAGGCAATGAATGAAACTCATTTATTCATTTTCACTATTGTCTCGGGGGGTTATCTAACACAAAATGTGTGTGTGTGTGAGTGTGTGGGTGTGTGTGTGCATAGAGCTGTCCTTGCGGCGATTACAGACGCTGATAATAAAGTAAAAATTGCAACAATGAACGCATAGTTGTCATTGGCATGTTCAGCTGATGGTAAACAGACATCGCCACAAAACAGCAGCCGCAACAGAAGCAACGCCAACAGAACTGGGCACAACGCCCACACGTAACACGGACGCATAAAGTGCTCGTAATCAACGTAAAATTCCAAACCACAAACAGGCACACACACACACACGCACATGTCACTTGCTGTTAACGCATTGAGTGTCCTCTACCATTGAGGCCAGCCCCAAAATTGGCCTCCACTGCCCCAACTACGCCAACTGTCCCAACTGCCTAACTGACCAGCTGCCCTGTTACCCCGTTGCCCATTTGCTTAGCAACATTTTCGTTTTGCTGTGTGGAAATTTCTGCAATGCTGCACTAATGCCAGCTAGACATATGCGTAGCTAGGTAAGTATGCGACTGTGTGTACATATATGTGTGTGTGTGTGTGTGTGTGCTCTTGTTGATTGTCCGGAAGTAGGTGGTGTCAAGGAAAGGGCAATGTCTGTTGAGTTCCTTTGCTCTGCGGTTGCTTCTTGTAGCATATCAACATTCTTTTTATTACAGACACTCATCAAATAGAACTAGGAAGAGGGGAGACGGTGAGCGGGAGTGTGAAAATGTTTGACAAGCGCACCTGGAAGATGTGGAAGCAACCTCAACCTCCAGGGAATGCTGTTCAAATTTAAACGTATGTAGCTTGAACTCTCATAATTATGCTTGAATATCTTATGGAATGGAAATTTTAGTGTTTGAAGAGCACACTTCTAAGAAGTTCAGGAAGTACAAGGGTATACTGACTGTTACAAATTTCGATATGGGTAAAAGCAACTAACTAATCAAATAAGTTATTGTACAATTATTCTTGAATAGCTTCTTGAATATATACTCAACGTGCTCAACCAAACTGTCTGTGGTCGGTTATTTCTCTATTATTATCAAATTTGAGAATATATCACTACAAGCTATACTCCCATCTTAACTAACTACTTGTCAGAACTCCATAACAGAAGCAGATGCTAGATACACTATAGGATATATCCAGCACTCACAATAAATCGGTTCATAGTTGTGTTATCTATACGAATCTAATCCCTTATCTCAAAAGGGGATTCACAAATGCAAAATACAACAACAACAAACAAGAAAATTTGAATGTGTCAAAAAGATCTAGAAATATATAATTAGAATTCCTACGGAAGAAAACTACTCACTGCACTCAGATAAAAAATCAAATTAAGAGACAGGTACGAAATGAGAAACATTCGTGATTTGAGGCAATACGAAAAAGGGAGCGCCTTAAGAGAGTATCAGGAAGTGAGTAACGACAATAATATTGATCAAGTTTCTTCCATATTTAAAGCCCATTAGCATAGTAATAGTCATATATATATGCATATATATGTATGCATTTAAATAATATAAATAATGAAAAATATAAGTATAAGTCTAATTATAACTATAAATCAAGGGCTTAAATTGCTTTAAATAATAACAATACTTGTTGTCATTCCATTAAATGCTTTCATTTCTTTTAAATATTATGTCTGTTGGTTTGAATTAATAATTTACTATTCATACATATATATTCAGAACCCATTGAAAATGGCAATTAATGACATTATTAAATTTATGTAACAGGCAGAAGGAGGCACAGCCCATAGTATGTATATCTATATATGATCAGTGCAATGAGCTGAGTCGATTTAACTCTGTCCATCAGACAGATGGTCCATCCATACGTCCGTCCATCGATATATATTTATTCTTTAAATGCAATATAGTTATACATTATATATAGATACAGGCAACAGTAAGCGAATCAACCGCAGCTGCAAGCGAGCAGTCCACCTCACAAGATACTTGGACGAGTCTTTTGTATGCTATCTACAGCTAAAGCACACAGATACGAAAATGCATCACTCACATACGTATAGTATATACGTATCTACACACTCAGATTGAAGCACCTAGTTGTGGATTTTAATTGCAGCGAGTGTGAAGCAAATGTGCGACAAAATAATACAGTAAAGCCCAAATAGAGCGACATTTGTTTTGTCATTTCGAATGTTGGTGCTATGCATTTGCATTAGTGGGTGACTGACACACCAGGCACACATACACGTATACACACTCACACTCACACTCGCACACGCACATTCATTCGTTGTTTGTGCTGCTTCTGTTGCTGCAATGTTTCTATTTGATGTGTTGCTGCTGCTGCTGCTGCTGTTGCAATTCTGCTGTTGCTGTTGCTGTTGGTAGCTGTTGGCTGTTGGCTGCCAGCCATGCCATTTGCATTTCCATTTTGCAATTAGTTTTGCTATGCATTCGGACACACACACATGCACAGCCACCCTCACACACAGTCATATGGAGACATTTGGAGTGTAATTATGTCCCCGTCCAGTCGGGCAATTTATCAGCCAGAGTTCTGTGTTTTAATGCGCTCACTTAAAGCTGAAGCAGCAGCTGCTGCAGCTGCAGTTACTGCTGCTTTTCTGGCTGCCCCAAATGCATTTGCCATCCGGAACGCAACGAGCAAAAATGGTGGAGAAAAAAAAAAAGACGCAAGAAAAATTAAAAGCCAGCCACAGCCAATTAGAGGCAACCAAAGCGCAGAAACCACTTCAAAGTAAGCGCAGAAAAAAAAAAAAAATGAAAAAATGCAGAGACTGCAAAATAAGCAAAGCAAAAGAGGGCTGCAAAAAAAGAGAAGGGAAACTTAGGTAAAACACCGATTAAGGAATACTCTAACTAGGATGAAACTAAATTCAAATATGAGTAGCATAATTAAACATAAAATGACAATTTGCCGATATTAAATATTAAAGTTAAGTGCAAAAAATAAATTAATTTAAGCTATATACTCAAGCAGCTCATATAGAGTAATAATATCAGAGAGAGAGAGGGTGAACACATTGAATGCAGAATATAATGTAAAGAGCAGAGAAAAAAGCGTCAAGTGCTCACAACTCTGTCGCCCTATAATAGAGGTGCTACGGTCATTGGCTTAACG